GAATCCGTAATGTTCAATAAATATTTGTTCAAATTATTGAATATGCAAACAAATATTTATTTAAGTATTACTTACTTCAGGGATAGGGAATAGTCTTGTTTGGTCGATTCGCTGTTCCTCACCAGATAGCTTCCTTCTTGGTGAACTCGCAGAAGACCCTCTGCCTCGATGCGTGTGATAGAGCCGTGATACCATCTAAATACAAGATCTCTCTTCAAATAACGTGCATTAATCCGCGAAGTTTACTGCACGAAAATAACGGTTAAAATATGAAGAATTTAGATCTTTATAAATACAGATCTGAAAATAGTTTTTTCGACCATTAAAATATTGTAATTATAGGAAAGTCACGTTGATTGCTATAGAATGCTTTTCAAACGCAAATTTTTTTACAACATTGCTCATATCATGTTTGAGATTTCTATATAATTAATTTTAATAGGTTAACAAAATTATTTTCAGATCTGCATCTAATCAAAATTTTTAATACTTTAGCAAAATCGTTTTTTCTACGTGCGGGAAACATTTCAAAAAGTACTTGTGCAAAGTTGAAAGATACAAGCGCACAAATGAAAATAACTTTGAAAATGTTAACAAACTCATTAGCGGTATTCAAGTCATCGAAACATTGTCCGTACATTAACGGTAATACCATGTTCGCTAAAACCCATGCAAAAATAAAGTATTTCGAAATAGCCCAGTAAAAGCCGATAAAACACTCACCCTTGTCTCTCTAATGGAAGCTCCACGTCAACCAGATCAGCTGATATTCGAGCGGTGCTGATTTCTAGCGGTAAACCGAGGTTTAGGCCACCAGGTTTTTTCGGCACCAATTGACCGCCCAAATTCGCACTCGTTCCAACTGCAATACTACTGGCATCCAGATTCAGAGTCATCTTCGGACGCGCCAGACCGCCGCCTGAAATGAGTCACCCGACAGTTAGACGCATCGTGGAGCTCCCGCCAGTAAACATCGATGATATACCGACTATACGGAATTGTAGGCGATCTGTCCTCGTAAGTTCTTTACGATTCCTTAATAATTGCTACAAATCAGAACTATGATATGTCGGAATTTATTCAAGCAACGAGCCGATTAAGTTGCATCCACAAAAAGTTGTTAAGGAATTATCAATATTATTTTGTCACTA